CCCTAGGCCCCACTCAATCTGATCATATGGGACCTCTTCTGTACCACCCTCCTCTAATGTCAAGATCAAGTGATCCTTGGCCTTGACTTGGCCCGAGATGGTACGATCTTTCCACTTCTTCCCCTTCTCCACGTCCTTATGCCAGAAAGTGGTAACTGGCATAGACTTCGACTCATACAGGATGACTTCTCTACTCAATACATCGTAAGTCATGCCGGCCTGCTGAGATTTGTCAAAGAAATGCCCGCGTAGGGCCTCTGGAATGGCACGATAAAACAACTGGACCAGCTGGGGCTCAGTGACCCCGTGGTCCGGGACGGCTACCAAGTCGTCCATAGTACCCTTGAGTGCTTTAGCACTCTTCCACTGCCGGGAGTGGATCTTTTGGAGCTTATCAGAGGCTCTAATGCCTCGCGTTGGGTCAGCGAACCGCTCCTTCACGAGCTTGAGGAATTGGGAAAGAGGAGTGACTTTGGAATATGCAACCAGGTTGTTTTCACAACCGGCTGTACGTGCGAGAGACCTGGCGAAGCTAGCCGCTTTGTCCTTCAGTGCCTGAAAGGCCACGAGGACTTGCTCCTCTATCAGGATATGCTGTAAGTAAATGTAACTATTGACACTGGCCTCSCAGTTGTCAAAGTTCTCGTCCTTCTTTCCCCCGTACGCGTCTGGGAACTTAAGTTTCACTGGGTCCTTACGGGGTCTGCCCTCTCCTTCTACAACGGCTGCAGCTTTGGCACCCTGAATTGCGCCCTCACAAAACTTCCCTACATTGTCTCTCAACTGTTTGACTTCGCCCCCAATGTGGGAGACAATTTCGCGCGCAAAATCCCTAAACCCGGACCGCATGGCACTCAACGCTACATCCTGGCTCCAGCTTGCTTGGCGCTCCTCCATCCAGGCCTTGCTCAACACCTCTAGATAGCCCTGTACTTTGTCCCACTTGGCCTTATCATCTGGCTGGGCCAGCACCTCCGCTCTACACTCTTGCACCTTCGCCACTGTTGCGGTCATCTTATTCACTTCCTCTCTCCTCCTCTTCTTCTCCCTCTTCATTCTCAACTTCCATGCTAACTTTTGCTCGTCTTCCCTCTCTCTTCGTTCAATTGGGTCTGTCATGGCTGCTACCTCAGCGGCCAGCGCAGCCTTCTCATCCTTCGTCACAAAGGACTCCGCCTCCTCATCTTCCCCCAACGATAAATTAGAGACCCACTCGCTGATCTTCTTCTCCAGCTCAGTGTCTGTCTCCCACTTCATCGTGCCACCACTGCTCCCTTCTCCACTCTCAATTATCATTCTCTCTTTCTCTACTTCTGCTGCTGCTTTTGCTTCAGCAACTTTTCTTCTTTCTTCCTCCTCTTGTTGCACTCTCTTCATCTCCTCCTCCAACCTCTTCATCTTCGCTGCCTGCTCATCTGCGATAGCCTTTAGCTTCGCCTGCTTCTCGCGCTCTCTTCTCTCCTTGTTCTCTTTCACTAAGGCGGCCATCTTTGCTTGCTGCTCAGGGGTGTAGGGACTAGTCTCCGTCCCACTACGGGTCTCAACCATGGTGATAAGTGTACAACCGGGTTAGTGGTTCCAAACCTCACCACGTAGACTCTGACCCCTGACTGACAAACCTATAGACTCAATCTCAGACTTACAGAATCCTGACAGGGATCCTGTCAACTATGGTCTCTAGCCTAAACCTATGCTATGGCTGTCACTACTGAACCAGTGGCTGATCAGGAGGCATTTAAGGAGA